TAACTGAGGGGTCCCAAGAGGTGGTACCGATCAGGACACCAGTGACGGTGAGGGACAGCCTTGGGCTCTCGTTGAAACGCGGCCCGTGTGGCATGGATTCTGATTGATGGGGTGAGGTGGAAATCCAACACAATCCTTTTCTGGAGTTGGCCAGCTGAGCTCACGCCATCTGCCGTGCCTCCCTCTGCCCCCTGCCCAGAAAGCCACCTCACTCCCCACACCCCCCTGGCTCCTTCCATCCTGCACAAACCCCAAAGAGCTCCAGAGAGTGATCTTCTGGGCCTTGTGGTATAGACTGGGCACTCCTGCTCATTATTGCTTAGAATTTCCCTGGCTGTTACTATATGATTTCCTTCCATTTGAACTTTAAAACTGACTTTCTAGTTAAAGATTCTCCTTTGGGAATTATGTTAACCTCCCAGAGTGTTTTGTATTTTATTTAATTTTATTTATTTTTTAAAGTAGGCTTCACACCCAGTGTGGGGCTTGAACTCACAACCCCGAGAGTAAGAGTCACATGCTCTATCAACTGAGCCAGCCAGACACCCCACTTTTTTATTATTAAACTTAAAGAGCCCCCCTTTTTTCCTAAAAGATTGTGTTTATTTGAGAGAGCACAGAGGAGGGCCAGAGGGAGAAGCAGACTCCCAACCAAGCAGGGAGCCCAATGTGGGGGCTCGATCCCAGGACCGGGGACCATAACCTGAGCCGAAATCAGATGCTTAACTGACTGGGCCACGCAGGTGCCCCTAAACTTTGAGAGTTTTCTGCAGAAATCGGTCATCTCCTTTCCCCCAGGATGGAGGGGTGCTGGCCACAGCTGTGCAGGGGTGAGCCTTCCTTGCTTCGGACTCAGGGCCAGAGGGCTGTGACCGGGCCAGCCATCCCCTCCTCTCCACTTCCCTGGTTGGCACGTGGACACACCTTTCACCACTGAGCAGTCAGCCCATACCAATCCACCTTTGTGTCATGGGAAGGCTGAGGGGTGTCCTACTAGGCCCAAGTCTGGTCTCCCTGCTGCTCCACTGTTGCCCTGATGGAGGTGCCCAGCTCTTGTCCGGTTCTTCTAGGCCAGCTTCTCAGTCCTACTTCCCCTTGGTTGGAATGCTTTCCCCATCTGGTTGTCGCACTCCTATGTACCCTGTAAAGCCCTCTGTAAAAACCCCTGTCCAAGCAGGAAGCTCCTCCCTGTGTCCTGTCCAGATGCTAAGCTCTGGAGTCCACGTGTGGGATCCAATCCTCTCATGACCTGCAACTTGACCTCCTAAAGGCCAAGTGTCCCATGGCAGAGCCCCCTCAGCCCCACTCCCTCTTCTCAGAGGCCTTAGTACCAGTTGGTCCTCTGTGTGGCTGGAGCCCATGAGACAGTCTGCCCTTGCCAGGCACAGCCTGTTGGGGAGACTCAGGCCCCGGACTAGGCTCCTGGAGAGACCCCTCTGTCCTTTTCCCTCTTCAAATACAGGGAAGTCTGGAACTCACCCTCTGACTGCAGATCCCGTCCAGGAGAGGCTAGGAGTCTACTCCATGGTATCTGTGTCCTTGGGAAGCAGATGGGAGGGGACAGTATTCTGAAGAAGGCTGTGAAAACTTGGAACCAACTGGGAAGGACAGCTGTGGAACCTTCCTGGGTGTGTCTGCAGATAGGGACCTGGCAGCCGCCTGTCCTGGAGGCAGCGGTCAGGCTGGGTGGCTTCAACCGGGTCACCCCTCTCAGAGCTCAGAATCCAAGCCCTGTGTCGTCACCGGTGAAGTCGGGTCTCTGTAGGTGCTTCCTCTCTCCAAGAAGTCAGGACGCAGAAGGAATCTAGTCATTAGTCCACTAAACCATATAGGTCACTTGTCGGATGGCCAGGCCACGTGCAGGGTGTGGCAGAGGTCATGGACTCCGAAGAGGCTGCAGCCCGTCCAGGTAGCATTCTGACCCCAGCATAAAAGACCCCTGCCTCTCCCCACCTGAGCTCACGTCTGCACAAGGGCAAGGCTCTGGTGAGCTGGGTGGGGCGATGCTGTCTGCTGTGGAGTGAGGAGGTCCACGTGGTTCTCTCGAGTAGCCATGTTGCAGGTCAGCTTGCTGGAAATCACGGCTGAAGATACCTTGATGCAGATGGACGTTTTCAGCGCTGATGGGCTGGAATCAGTAACAGGCAGCAATGTAATGGACACTTATCTATCACATGCCGGGAAAATTACGGGAGATGCGGACTGCCCGCGGAGACATGGACCGCCCAAGGCCCTGAAGACGGGGTTTTCCCAGTGGGCTGCTGTGTGCCCGTGGTGGGCTGCAGCCATGCCCAGTGCTGTCGGCTCATGAATCCTGTCTGAAGAGCCTGGCATCTGGAAGGTGCCAGCCATCCCAGTGTTGGGACGAACAGAGGCCTGACTGCTGGGAAGCCCTGGACTGCGAAGGGCCCCAGCTGCTGGCCTGGCCACATGGGTCCCAGGCCACCAGCCAGGCCACATCTGGGGCAGCCACTTGTATTTCTTTCATAGACATGTTTGCCTCTGTGAGCAGGCCCAGCTTGGGCACTGGCTGCCCCCCAGCATTCCCATAGATTTATAGAAATGGAGCTATATAGACACTCACCACCTTCTCCCTGGCCCCCCGCCACAGAGTTGTAAACACTTGGCAAATGCTTTCTGAGCTCCCCCTTGTAGCTGGAGGTGACCATGTGAATGAATTTTGGCCAACAAGATGGAAGTGGAGGCTCTCTAGGAGCTTCTAGATGGCTTTTTGGCTCTTTATCATGGCTGGCCCTGTCCCTTCTTCCTTCTCCTTTCTTGCTGATGTGATGTCTGGAGGTTGGTAGCCATCTTGTGACCATGAGGCAACAAACCTGGAAAAAGAGACATGTCAACATCCTCAGTGTGGTGGGGCTGAGTCTGCCAGAACCAGCAGCCTCCCCTCTCCAGACTTCTAGATTGATGAGGAAAATCCACCACTGTTTTCTGATTCTTGGGACCAAGGAGCTAAGTGATGTGGCATTTTTATGCCGACATGAAAATGTGTGCTACAGCAATTCCTTGAGGTCTGACTCCTTTTCCAGCCACTGACTGGTAGCTCCACTTATGGGTCTCAGGACATTTTGTTCCAAAAGATTTGCTCCCACACCTTTCAAACTTGTCCCAAATTGCTAAGTCTGCAGCAGGAGGAGAGAATGCTTGCTTGGCTTCATTTATTCACTCAGCAAATGTGACTTATATATGCTGTTTCTCTTCCAGGGACCGAGGGGGCTTACTCATTCATGGGCACTACAGACTATATACTCAGACAGAAGCATACATGACCCCTCCAGGTAGCAGTGAGGCTGGGGGGAGAAACAGTGAGGGTGGTGAGAGCTCCTGTAGGAGGGTTGGGGAGGTCACTGGGGAAGGTGAGGATGGAGCAGAGACCAGTGGAGCTGGGGGTGAGGCATGCAGCAGCTAAATCCTCGGTATGCACAAAGGCCCTGAGGCCAGATGTGTGAGGACTAGAGGAAGGGGGTGGCTGGAGAGAGGAGCAACCTGGAGAGTTGGCCTGGAGAGTTATTTTTATTTATTTATTTATTTATTTAATTTATTTCAAGATTTTTAAAGATTACTTAATTTTTATTATTGTTTTTAAGATTTTATTTATTTGACAGAGAGAGACAGTAAGAGCAGGAACACAAGCAGGGGGAGTGGGAGAGGGAAAACATGCTTCCTGCCAAACAGGGAGCCCGATGTGGGGCTCAATCCCAGGACCCTAGGATCATGACTGAGCCAAAGGCAGACGCTTAATGACTGAGCCACCCAGGCATCCCTGAGAGTCAGCTTTTTAAACTAAGGGTGTGGGTTTGAGCACACTGGGCTTTTGGATGCAAGGGTTGTTTGGGCTGCTGAGGGAGAGTGGGCTGCCCATGGAAGGGCAGGGACACGTGGACTTGGAGCAACAGGCTGCCATGGGCTCGGGAGCCGTGCAGGAGGTGAGCGGCTGTGGCTCAAGGCTGAAGGTGGGACAGATAGGCACTTCATGGGGCCACAAAGCCAGAGCAGGTGGAGGGAACCGCTGACCAACAAGGGGGGTGTGGCAGGCATATCAGGAGCTGCAGTCTGGACCCTGATGACTCTGATGCCTTTGGACACCCCAGTGGGGAGCTGGGGCTCGCTCAGGCTGGGGGTGTGAATTTGGGGTGGCCTATACACCAGTAATATTCATAAAGGAGACCAGCTGCTGCCTCCTGTCCCTCCCAGGCCTCGCCCCCTGTGTACCCAGGTGGCCTCAGGGTCGGGAGGGGCAGGGGGACCCCTTATGGCAAGTTCGCTTGCCGTCCAGTGCTTCCTCGGTGCTCTGCCCTAGCGGGAACACCTAGCAGGGGTGGGGTGGGGTGGGGTGGGGTGGGAGGGTGCTGCTGCAGCTCCTTTGTCCTGGGGATGGCAGGACAAGGGGGTGTCCCCACCTGACTCTATGGGGCTCCCTTTGCCCCAGTCCTGTCTCTTCCCTGATCTGGTTGCAGCATCTCCCCTGGGTGACAGGGACTGGGAGGGACCCATGCCTCCAGCCCACCTGTTAAGCGCCTGGTATGCAGGCAGACCCTCCAAAGGGCCTCTCTTTCTCTCATGGGGCCCCTCCCCATCCCCAGGGGTAGAATTACAGGATGTCCCACCTCTCAGCCCCTCCCCTGATGTGTCCCGGGGGTACGTGAGCTCATGAGTCTCTGTCAGGCCGCAGTCTCCCAGGGGACCCTGCTCAGGGCCCATCAGCTGGCCCCTCTCCATCCTCTGCCCCCCAGCTTCTCCTGGCTTTGGAGCCACTGCGGAGCTGCTGCCAGTGCAGCTGGGGGCCCAGGAGGGGGGTAGAGTCTGATGATTCAGGCCCTTCCTGGGTCTTAGCTCCCCCACCCCAGGGCCCCCCGGGGATGGGTGCGGGTACATTCTCCATAGGAATGGATACACAGTGATGGGGGGGTGGATGGAGGGGCAGAGATTGTGCCGGCCCCTCCCTGCCCCTGACTGAGGGCTGAAGGTCTTCCTTTGCCCCACAGGTGCTTCCAGGCTGTCCTCCTCCTGGCTCTGACCATGCTCCTGCTAGCTGGCATCCTGCGCATGGACATGGGGCTGCTTATACCGTGAGTTCTACGTTCCCGGGGCAGGGCCTGTGACCCCAGCCTGCCCACCTCTGGGTCACACTCTGCATTGGCTAGTGATCATGCAGTTTGTGCTTCCCCACGGGGCCTCAGCTTTCTCCTGTCTATGAGAGGAGGGGTGGGCCCTTCGCTTTAGGGATCCACAGCCTTCTGGAGCCCTCCAGGGTCTCCTGCGGGCAGCAAGCTGCCCAGGCCTCTGGGCAAGGCACCTCTGGGCAAGGCTTAGGGAGGGCGGGAGTGAGCCAGGGGTGGGCATGTCTTGGGTGGAGCTGCTGTGTGCAGAGGGTGACAAGGTACTAGGAGGCAGGGCTAGGGTCCAGGGTGGGCCTAGGAAGGTCAGGTCCCCTGCTCCCCTGCCTGCTTGGGGTTCATCCTCTGTGAGGCCCAGGGTCTGCAGGGATGTTCACGCAGGCCCTGTGCTTCTGCCTGGCCGCTGAGAGGTGTGGCTCCAGGCCTCCTCTCCCCACCTCCCCACCTCTCTGGTTGGATCTCCCCAGGGGGCACCAAAGCTCCTTGGGTCTCTCCCTTGGTCCTCCCATTGTCCCCAGGGCTGGCACATGCCTGTGTATCCTGTCCCTCACTATCAAGGGTTATTCTTACTGGGGCAGGAGGGGTGCCTGTCACTGCAGGCTGGAGGCACAGTGGGCCGGGTGCCATCACGGGACAATGAGAGTGGGCACCGGTATCCCCTTCAGCCCTGCAGTCAGCCTGGCTGGTCCCTGTGTGACATGTCAGCCAAGAAACTCTGGGTGTGGGGTCCAGTCCACGGGGCCAGCTCCATGCTGGATGCCCTGGGGACCAGACAGGAACTTGGGGGCCAGAGAGGGGGTGCCAGGGCCCCAGGGGCCCAACCTGTGGTATGTGGGGGGACAGAGGATGTGGCCACTTAGGGAGCAGTCAGGTCTGTGCCGGTGGGTCCTCCAGGGTTGCAGCGTTGGGGGTCTCTTGGTGAGTGGAAGGAAGCACAGTTGGAGGCACAGGGTCTGGGTATCATTGGCAGGGCAAGTGTGGGGCAAGGGATCTTGGACTGGGGAGAGGTTGGTGACGGAAGATGGTTTGGGGGTCGCGCTGGGTGGGGGTTCCACGGACCCTCCCTGGATGACAGTGGCCATGCTCTCCTCCCAGTCTGCTCCGGAGCCAGGCCGAGGGGCCGCCCATCGTCAATGTCATGTTCCTCAAGACACACAAGACGGCCAGCAGCACTGTGCTCAACATCCTCTTCCGCTTTGCTGAGACGCACAACTTGTCCGTGGCCCTGCCTGCCGGCTCCAGCTTCCACCTGGGCTACCCCTGGCTCTTCCTGGCACACTACGTGGAGAGCTCAGAGCCCCAAGGCCTGCAGCAGCGTTTCAACATCATGGGCAACCACCTGAGGTTCAACCTGCCTGAGGTGTGGGGCGTGGGTAGGAGGGGTGGAAGTGGAAGGACCGGCCAGGACCGGTCCCAGGCTCCCTGTGGGGTTGTGCCTTCGAGTATGACCCTGGGGGTTGGTTGTGCCCAAGACACCAAAGGGACAAAGGCTGTGGATGTGTGTACCTGCAGACCTTGCCAGAGCCTCACCTGGGGGCAGGGGTGGCTATCCACGCACCCTGCTCCTCTCCCCCAGAGACAGTTGGCTGTCATTGCTCTTGGAATCAGGTACCCTCACGGCCTGCCGCCCTCTCCACCTACCTCTCTGGACTCCTGCTTTTGCTTCCCAAACCCCTCTACTTCTTCCTATTCAGGACCTTTGCCCAGGGTCCATTTTTGAGGGACACTCTTCACATCTCCTCCTCTAGGTCATTTGCATCTCAGTGTAGCGGTCACTTCCTTGGTGGGGTTTCCCCCTGACTGGCCTTCCAAAGGCGCCGGGGGAGCAGGGGCTGGAGGCGCTAGGGAAGGGCGGGGCCCACTTCAGATGCTTCAGGATCCTTCCTGTGCTGTGGGAGGGGACGTCTGCGTGCGGGGCTGCTGCAGGGATCCTGAGAGTTACCAGCCCTTCCTGCTGGGTCTCCACACAGGTGCAGAAAGTCATGCCCAACGACACTTTCTACTTTTCCATCATCAGAAACCCCGTCTTCCAGCTGGAGTCCGCCTTCACCTACTACAAAGACTACGTCCCTGCGTTCAGGGATGCGGAGAGCCTGGATGCCTTCCTGGCCTCCCCGTGGACCTACTACAATCAGAGTGTGGGCCTGCTCAACGCCTTTGCCAGGAACAACATGTGGTTCGACCTGGGCTTCGACAACGACGCACGCGCCGACGACCAGGGCTACGTGCGCGCGCGCCTGGCGGACGTAGAACGGCAATTCCAGCTGGTGCTCATCGCGGAGCACTTCGACGAGTCCATGGTGCTGCTGCGGCGCGCGCTGCGCTGGCGGCTGGACGACGTGGTGGCCTTCCGGCTCAACTCGCGGAGCGCGCGCAGCGTGGCCCCCCTGACGGCCGCGGGGAGGGCGCGTGCGCAGCGCTGGTGCGCCCTGGACTGGCAGCTCTACCAGCACTTCAACCGCAGCTTCTGGGCCCGCGTGCATGCCGAGCTGGGCCCGCGGCTGCTGCGCTCTGAGGTGGCGCGGCTGCGGGCTCGGCGGCGGGAGCTCAGGGAGCGGTGTCTGCAGGACGGCGTGGCCAAGAACCAGTCGCAGATTGCCGACCCCCAGCTGCGCCCCTTCCAGTCGGGCCAGGCGGACATCCTGGGCTACAACCTCAGGCAGGGCCTGGATGAGCAGACACAGCGGATGTGTGAGAGGATGGTCACTCCCGAGCTTCAGTATATGGCCCGCTTGTATGCCCTGCAGTTCCCGGAAAAGCAACCCAAACGCCTCCCCTTCCTGGAGTAGGGGGGCGGCACCAGGGACAGGGCACGAGTCCCAGCCCTTCTCCTGTCATCCCTGGGAGACCAGGGTACCGACTGGTGAGGAGGGGGACTCCTGGGGCAGCTGTGCGTCGGGGTGAAGACCCCACTAAAGGTACCCACTTAGGATCCATCCTCTTGGAGGCACCACTGCCGTGAGGGTCCCACTTTGGGACCTGAGGGTTTGAATCTGGTTAACAGGTAGTAAAACCTTACAAGTTAGGAAAGTGAGTGACACTAAATTACAAGTTGACATACTGCCCCTCGAAAGGACACACGTGGGCACATCGACCATCACAGGAACTCGAGTGCAGGGGGTCAGGAGAAGCTTGGGCAGCAGGCCTGGGAGTCCCTGAAGGAGCCCTGGTGGCTCCCCAAATCTGCTGGCTGTGGGACAGGGGGCTGGTCACAGAGAGGGTTGTGCGATGCCCACAGGGAGCCCTGGGAAGCTGACACAAGGCAGCAAGGATCTGGAATGTTCAGCTTCCCATCTGTGGCTGGATGAGGCATCTTTGCAAGTAAAGAATAGCTTTAGGTTGAGAAAAGTTGAAACTGCTTATGAGACAAATGGTTTAGCCAGAGCTCAAGGTGAGGATTAGGGCCCCAGCCCCCTGTCCGGATGGCCCCCTTGGAATGTGGGGGTGTCTGACCTGCTGGAGGAGCTCCTGCGGCTTATAGCACACTCTGTTGTCCTGGAGGGCACCCTGGATGCAGTCCCAGAGGAGGGTGGTCGCATGGCTGACGGCATTCGGACAGCCTCCTCGGAGGGCAGCATTGAGGCACCCGTTCCTCAATTGTCGGGAGGGTCGGAGGGCCCCCTGTCTCGAAGGATGTGATCCCGGGTGCCTGGGGGCCCGGAGGTTAGAGTGGGGTGCGCACCAGTGCTGTAGACCCCGCGTCCTGAGGAAAGTGGGGGGTCTGGGGCACTCACGGAACAGAGCTGCTCTTACATGTGAAGCCTAGAGGCTCAGCAGTCCCATCTGCCTGGCACCCAGTCCATCTTCCTTCCTCATAAGGTTCTCGGGCCTGACGACCCCAGGAGCTTGGCCAGGGCACCTGAGGAGGGGCTCCGTGTATGGGCATGGCTGCCCTTCTCGGGGATCTACCTGTCAAGGAACCTGCCAGCAATCAGAAGATACAGCTCCCTAGGACACCAGTTTCATGGAGGGAAATTTAAAAAGAATGAATTTTCAGTGAGATTAGAGGACATATCGCCGAGATTTTGAAAGGCAAAGAGGATATTGGAAACTGAAAACCTGACTTTCAAAGCAGCACACCGAGACAGAAAAGAACAGAACAGGTAGGGCAGAGTCAGGGGCGGCGGGGACACCATCCTGAGGATCGTCATCCTCCACCCAGAGGAGATCGTGGAGAGCTGTCCTGAGGAACAGCGGAGAAAGCAATCAGATGCAGAAGAGCCATTAGGCGGATAATGGAGAGCCTGAAGGAGGGTCAGGGTTATCAGTAAGAAGCTACAGCCAAAGAAAGAAATGAAAATATGACCCTGGTTGGAAGGAAGTATCCAGGCAAATGTGGTGCCCTGAGCATCAGGCGCCCCACCCCCACCCCGAGCCACAGAGCCCCTTGCATGGGTCAGCCCGGCCAGCCTGCCAGCGTGGGCTAAGGGAGATAGGTGGCCGCTTCTGTCCCTGCTGCCCCAGAAGGGGGTCTGTTCTCAGCGGCATGCGGATTGGGACCACGCCACACATTACCACATTTCGCTCCAGAACTTTGCCTAGTGACCCCTACCATGAAGGATCAGAGCAGAGCCAGGACTCAAATCCATGTCTATTTAACATGAATGTCCCTACTTTCAACCCCTCAGGTCATCTTCCACCAGGCTTCCTTTTATAACATAAAGAAAAATGCCAAAAGCAACCCATAACTCATCCTATGGCATCGGTTCCGGTTTTTTCTACCAGCTTTCTAAAATTAAGAAACGTTTCAAATATACAGACACAATGTGACTGACAGCCACCGAGCCAGCACCATTATTTAACAAGATGTAACACTTTGCCCTTCTTGCTTTAGATCTCCTTTAATATTAAAGATAGGAAATGTTGCAGGCTAAGGCTGAAAATGTGTCCACGTTGATAAACTGTTCCTGTTTATTCATTTTAGCAGCCGCACAGTCCCCCAAGGGATCAGGACCACGAAGTTCCAATAGAAATCCAAGGGTGTTTGCTTTTGCCTTCATGGCTGGAGGAAACATAAATCAGTTCTGTCTCTTTGGAAGGAATTCCGGGGTTATTTATTCAAAGTGAAGTGTGTGCGGATTGGAAGAGACAGCTTGGAAAACAGCCGGCAAGGGAACTCCGTCCAGAAGACAGGTTTCGAATGCTGAAGTTGTTTGCAGCTGTTAAATGATAGCGTTGGGAGCACAGGGTCTGCAGAAACTCCTCGAAGGTGGGGGGATTTTGGAGCCTTGGTGATGCTGGAGTGTGGGGGGGTGGGGGGCAGGCAGCCCAGGAGGGTGTGTGATGGCCCCAGAGGACCAAGGACGCCCAGGAGCCAGACCTTCCTTCTGATTTTTCAAGAGAAGCTAGAAATACAGATTTTTAAGTGAAATCTCTATATTTAAAAAGGTTGGTGTCTCATTAGAACATTAAGGGGATGGGGAGGATGGGGGAGTAGGGTTAGAGATACAAACTTTCAGTTTAGGAAGGCAGAAATAAGGACGGTGGACAGGGGAGAGGATGCAGTCCGTCACTGTGCAGTGGTCTGGTGTGCGGACGTTGGTGACCGCTGGCTGAGGTGAGCCTTTTTGTCACACACCTACTTGTCGGATCGCTGTGTTCTGACCTGAAACTCACAGAATGTTGTGTGTCAATTATACTCCCAACAGAAAACAAACCCCACAGATCTCTTATCCTGTTTATAGAGGAAAGGTGATTGTAATATATGAAACACAACTAGCTCTGACATCAGTAGACAGGGAAGATTACTAATAGCTTACTTAAAATTTTTTTCACCATATTGTTGAAAGCCTCTATGAATAAAAGTTTTTCAAACGATAAGTTATTTATTAAGCATTCTTTGGCGTTGTTAAAATGAAAAAACAAGCAAACACACCCAAACCTCAAATCCCCAAGTAGAGGGAATGAAGCCTGTGTTTGGGCTGCCTCCTTCCAGGGCCCCAGAGGGCACCCTGCTTCGACAGCCCAGCTGGACACGGGGGCTTCACATAGGTGGTGTGGGGTCATGGGGGCTCAGCAGGGGGCCCAGCACCAGGCCCAGACATAGGGGACAGGGGAAGGGGGATGGATTCAGAGAGGCCCTGAGAGATGGGGAGATGGTACTTGATGTGGAAGCATTGGGGTCTGGAGTGAATAGCTAAGAAAGAATCCTTGAGATGTCTTTGCTGCCAAAAGGTGGTTTAATTAAAGCATGGGGACGGGATCCATGGTCGGGAAGAGTTGCTCCGGGGTTCTGAGGAGGGGCCCATTATATACTGTAAAGTTGGGAGGGGATTAGGGAGAGTGTAAGCCTCCCAGGTATTTTGGCAACGAGGTTTCCAGGATCCTGAGGGAGCTAACCATTGCTGGGAAAGTTCATTTATTACTGTTTAGTAAAAACTCAATCATGAGACCTTCCAGATGTAATCGGTGGGTCGTATGCTTGGGAGTGATGGCCAACATGTATCTTGGGGGTAGTGATAAAGGAAGTTTCCAAAGGAATTTCTATAGTTAAAGTAGACTCACAGGATCCTGGGGTCAGGCTAAGATTGCCTGTGCCCTTAGGAAGGTGTCCACATGGAGGCAGCCGAGCTCCCAGGAGTTCACTCTGCCCGTTTCAAGGACTTGTCAATGGGCTTTAGGTATGAGGAAATTTAATTTATCTTTTGCCCTTGTTTCCCACATCAGTGCTGACCCCTTCCCCCAGTGTCCCCTTTTCCTTCTGTGGTAGAGAGCCCTGGGCTTCCCTCTGTCCCCTCCCCAGCTCCCCTGAGGACCTGAAGACATGACAAGTTTGTCATCTCCCCACGGACAGCATAGGATGTCTTCATTTTCCCAGAGCCCTGTCTTCCCTTTGAAGTCCTATCATAACCGAGTGGACCTGAGTTCACTCCTCAGTGAGTCACACGTGGAAACTGCACCAGGTAAGCTGTCGCACAAAGGAAACTTTATTTGCTCCAAATAAGGAGATCCCAGGGAATACGGTCCAAAGCCGTAACTCCCTGAGCAAGGGTGGACGGAGTCCTTGTGTTTAGGGTTAGGATGAATCCTCAGAAAGAGGAGCCTCGTCACTATATGCAGAGGCGGGCACAAGGTCATGCCTGCGCTTTGAGGAAGGACTAGTGCTCCTCCTTGGGCAGAGGTCTTAGTGTCATAATGAGGTCAGGGTATCAGTCGGCCACTCCACGGTCCATGTGCACAGGCGTGAGTCTGTGAGTCAGGGGCTGAGTTCCCACTGGCCCCGGGTGGTCCAAGCAGTTGTTATTGCCCAAGCAGGGGGGGCGGCAGGCGGGGAGCAGTTTCAGCATCCTTCATGGGATGCTTTACCTGTCGGGTTTTGGCCTGAGTTAGAGATCAGCTGGAAAGAAGAGCTTCAGGAAAAACGTGGGATGAAGGTCAGTGGGTACAAGCAGGTGGGCAGTAAAGGTCAGGTCTTGGGGTCTATTGTGCGGGGTCCTGCTGTGCAGGTGGGGCCCAGGGAACCCCTGAGGGGGATGGTCCTCTGCACTGGTCGGGCTGGGATGCTGAGGGCTCCCCGGAGGCGCTGGTCTGGACAGTGGTCACCAGGCTGTGGTCATCGGTGAAAGCCGGCAGGAGCACTGACAAGGCGGCTGGTGCTAGGAAGGGGATGCGGTGCTGCCCCACCCCCAGGCTGCGCTGGCCGCCTAGCATGGACATAGGCCAGAGCTGAGGGAGAGCCAAAGGGGCTGGCATCCCGGCTATGGTGGGAAGGTCGTGGAACCTCACCGGGAGGCTGATGGCTCACTGGGGTTTTTGTGGGAGGCTATCTCTGGAGGAGGCTTGGGGACAGGGAGATCTATATGCCCCTTGCTGGGCCTTGTGGGATGGTGAGCCCCCAGATCCAAGCACTGCAGGGTGGACAGAGGAGCCCTGTGTGGCCCTGGTTGGGCCCTCCCCACTGTGGCCCGGCACCACCCCTCTCCTCACTGCACTAAAGCCACACAGCTGGCGGGGGTGGGGGGTCCGAGCCTGGGTCCTGATGCAGCCCTGGGACCCTGCCAGCTCTGGCTTCGGCCGACACAGCCGGCTGGCCCTTGTCTCCACTCTGCTTCCTGGGTTGGAGAAGCAGGCACTCCTGTGTTGCCCCACAGCCGTTCTTTAGCCTCCCCGTGGTGCCCGGTGAGTTCCCTCCCCGCTCACCTGAACCCCAGCCCCTGAGGGCCAGAAATGGGCTCCTCCGTCCTCCTGGCCGCCCTTCCTTGGGCCGAGGGTAAGGTCCGTGCATGGAAGGCTGACTGACCAGATGCTTTTCACAGATGCCCCACCTGGGATCACTGCCTGGTCCAAGCGGCAGGGGTGCCCAAGGGCCCAGGGATTGATTGAGAGGCTGGGAGAGGTACACTGGGCTGGGGCTCAGAGCTGGGGGCCTGACCCGGCCTGTGGAAGCTGACGGCTGTGTGGGCCCTGCTCCACGAGGCCCGAGCTTTGCAACTGAATTCTGGCCCCTCACCCGGCACAGGTCACTCAGGTCAGACTTGAGACCCTTCCCGAAGTGACAGACCTGGGCGACCCCTCTGCCCAACTTGTATGCAAAGCCCTTTGCTCTTCATATGCGTGCTTTTAAGTGCCCTGTGGCAGGCTGGGATCCTGCGGGAGGACAGGGGCTGTGCTCCTCTGGGGGTGTGGGTGGGGACCTGGGCTGTCCAGAAGGCTGCAGGGAGGAGCCCTGACGGGATGTTGGGACACAGCCATCCTGTCCTGGTAAAGCCAAACCCCTGGACCCTAATGATCTGGCCAAACTGGTCCAGTTGCCCATGAGGCTCTGCTCTGCCTCTTAGATTGAGAGGTTCTCTCCGGGACTTTGGGGCTCTGCAGAGACCTGGGGCCTAGGCAAGGACGGCGCGGGATGCCCTCATCCTGCTTGGGCAAGCAGCAGAGTGAGCAGCGAGTCTGGGCAACCTCGCAGTCCAGGTGGTCTCTGGCCCAGTGGAGGAAGCCAAGTGCAGACAATGTGCCCTTGTGTCCATTCAGCCTGGAGGGACACGTGCCACTGACACCTGCTTCCTGCTGGGGCACAATTGCCCTTTGAAGGCAGAGTGGGCGTGGGGCCCAGGGGCTTCCAGACATAGGAAGTTGCTCTTACAGCCCCCAGGCCTGATATTGGCAGGGGGCCTGCTGGGCTCAGCGGGCAGTGGAGCAGGCCACGGCGCTGCCCATGAGAGCCTTTCAGGAGCAGGTGGCCTTGAGCAGAGGTGGACTGAGGTGAGGTGTCTGTGTTTTGGGGCCATCGGCTGAGCCAGCCAGCATGACCTCCCATGCGTCTGAGCGAGGCCACTCTTGTTTAGGGTGTTCTTCCTGTCACGGGTCAGCCCCTCTCCGTCCCTTCTCCTCAGACGTGCCCGGGCCGTGCCCTGTGGGCAGTGGCTTGACCCTCTGAGAGCGGTGCTACCAAGTGGGATATGGGGCTTCGTGCTCTCCCCCTCCTCCCACTCTCTCCTCCCCTTGGCTCAGAGTGCTGACAAGTGTCTGGCCGCAGGCTCTGGCTGCTCCAAGTCCGGCTCTGCCTGCCGGCCCCGGACCCCGACGGTATTCCCTCACTTGCATCCCTGTGGGGGGCCGGGTCAGCCCACGGTTGCCTTTGTGCAAATCAGAGAAAGAAACCCCCCTCTAGGAGATCGCAGACCCCTGGTGCACACCAGATATACCCCCTCATGGCCTCCCTTGGGAGCACACTCCCGGGAGGAAGGCTACTTGCAGAAAGGCTGCCCTTGGTCATTCCCCCGCTCCCCTACAAGAGCCCCAATTTGTGGTAAGGGGGGCCGGGTGACCTGCCAAGGTCAGGGAGCCGGGCAGTGCAGGGCGCCGGATGCAGGGGCAGGAGAAGTTGGGAACAGGACTGCAGCTGCAGCGGGGACAGCCCTCTTTGTCCTTGCTGAGTCCCTCCTGGGGTCCTTCCAGCCAGGGTCTGCCTGGTGCCTGGAATGTGGCCTCCTCTCTGCCCTTCTCCCCTCCCCTCTTAGCCTTTCCTCCAGGAAGCCCCCAGGCTCGGCACACCATCCCCTGCCTGGCTTCCCACCTCTGTGAGCAGCCACTTGTCGGGCCTCAGACACTGTGGGTGCGGATCTTCCTCCTGTCACTGTGGGGAGCAGCTTCTTTCCAAGGGTACCCCCAGTGCAGGCCGGAGCTGGCTGGGCCCCCTTTCTGCCAGGAGGGGGTGGGGTAGGACAGCAGGGTGGTGATCTCTTTGGCCTCCTCAGGGTCCTGCTCACTGCTCTTCCAGCCTGCACGGACTCTAACTCCCTTGAGGCACATGTAGGAGCCATTTGGGGCACCCTGCGGGTGGGGTGGCTCTGCTGATCCTCCCATGACTCCCAGCTTGGCTCAGGAGCCCAAGGAGCAGGGTGGCTGGTTCCCTGCACCTGCAGACGTCCTGCTCGGACTTGGACTTCAGGCCCCTTCTTAGCAGGACACCCACTGGCACCCCCCACAGCCTTCAGCAGGCCACTCCCCCTGCCCCGCCTCCATCCATCCTGGCCACTCCCGAGAATCCCAGAGCCCCCCAGGTCTGAGAAGGGTGGAGGCAGCAGCTGGGGCGCCTTCTCCAAGAAGCCTGTGTCTGAGTGTGTGGAATGCAAGCGTCTTTCTGTCTCCCAGGGCCATGGTGAATGCGTGTGCGTCTGTGTGTGCCTCTGTTCAGTGCTTAAGTCTCTCCTTGTTTCATTTTCTGTGTATCTGGTGTATCTGTTTGTGTCTCCCTGCTGACTGTGGTCGTGGGACCCCTATTTGGGGAAACTGAACCCAGGCTTGTGCCCCACAGAACATGGGGGCCCCACGTGTCCCCGAGCGGACTGTGCTCTTCCAGCGCGAGAGGAGCGGCCTGACGTACCGTGTGCCCGCGCTGCTGTCTGTGCCCCCTGTGCCCACCCTGCTAGCCTTTGCGGAGCAGCGGCTCAGCCCTGATGATGCCCATGCCCACCGCCTGGTGCAAAGGAGCGGCACGCTGGCTGGGGGCTCTGTGAGGGTGAGTGGCGGGCACCTATGGTGGGCAGGACTCGGGCAGGGCACCGCCCAGTCCACAGGTAAACTGAGGCCGCCTGCCCTCCCTTCCTCCCTCCCTCCGCCGGGCAGTGGGGTGCCTTGCGTGTGCTGGCGACAGCGGCCTTGGAGGAGCACCGGTCCATGAACCCCTGCCCGGTGCATGACGCCCACACGGCTACCATCTTCCTCTTCTTCATCGCGGTGCGGGGCCACACGCCCGAGGCCACGCAGATCGCCACCGGCAGGAACGCCGCTCGCCTCTGCTGCGTGACCAGCCGGGACGCGGGGCGCAGCTGGGGCGCGGCCAGGGACCTCACGGAGGAGGCGGTGGGCGGCGCAGAGCAGGGTAGGTGGGGTGTGGGTAGGGGGCTGTGCTGTTCATGGGGTGCTGGGGAGCAGGGTGGGATGCACGGGGGAGGGGTGTGGCCCGTACCTGGGCTTGTCTGCACTGGGAGGGGGCCCGCAGAGTGGCGGGTGGGGTCTCATGGGGAGTGTCTGCACAGCGGTCTGGGGGTGTCCACATGGGGTTGGGGGTCCAAACTATGGGGGGCGGGGGAAGGGTCCGGCTACAGGTCAGGGGGCTACCTACAATGGCTCCCAGCCTAAGGACCACTCCCACCATTTCCTGGGGCTGCCACCCCCTCCCCTAAACCCCTCAGTCCTGGAGAAGGGTGCTGGTCACCTCCCTGGGCCTGGAGAGCAGGCTCATCTAACTGAGACTGTCTCTGTCTGAGCGCTGAGGTCCCTCCCTCCTCCCAACTCCACTGCTGCCTCACCTCCTTTACCGCTTGCCCTCTGCCTTCTAACCTGGGGTTGTCCAACCTAGGGTCCAGGTCTGTGCAGGTTGCCTGACCCTAAAGCTTTTCCTCTATTCCTTCTGCCCCTAACTTAAAGGCCTGACCACCAACTGCCCTCTGAGGCCACCCCAACCCTGGCATGGGGACACTGACCTAGGGGTCACCCTGACCCTTGTAGGTGGGATCTAAGCTGAGAGGTGTGGCAGGCTCTGAGGCTTGGACAGGACACACAGAGCTGGTCTAGAGAGCTATCTGCTCCTGTGGACCCTATTCCATGGGATTCAGGCCCAGGGCTCGATCCCACCCTGAAGGTCTGCTTAGCATCTGCCCTTGGCTGCCCCTCTGTCTAGACAGCACTGTTGTTGGCTGTCCATCCACACTCTGGGACTGGCTACCTGCTCACAAGCTGAGAACTTAGCCAAGTAGCCTGCTTGGGCTCCTGGCTCCTGGCTTCTGGCTCCTGCTGATGCTGGAGAGAGGCTTGTCTGGCCCCCGACGATCTGGAGCGGCCAGCAGGAGTGGAGGACGGGGGCATGATCAGTGGGGGCTTCCTCATGAGCCGTCCCTTAATCTGAGGCACTGGCTGTGGATCCTCCCCAGCTCCCTGGGGTGGGTGGCAGTATCAGGCTGCGGCCACGGCCGTCTCCTGGCTGGGATGGCGGGCAGCCCCTCTCCTCCACAGACTGGGCCACATTTGCCGTTGGCCCGGGCCACGGCATCCAGCTGCGCTCCGGCCGCCTCCTGGTGCCGGCCTACACCTACCGCGTGGACCGGAGGGAATGCTTCGGCAGGATCTGCAGGACCAGCCCCCATGCCTTCACCTTCTACAGTGACGACCACGGTCGCACCTGGCATCGTGGAGGCCTTGTGCCCAACCTTCGCTCGGGCGAGTGCCAGCTGGCTGCGCTAGACGGTGGGCAGGCGGGCGGCCTCCTCTACTGCAACGCCCGGAGTCCCCTGGGCAGCCGCGTGCAGGCACTCAGTACAGATGAGGGTGCCTCCTTCCTGCCCGGGGAGCTCGTGCCGGCACTGGCTGAGACCGCCTGGGGCTGCCAAGGCAGCATCCTGGGCTTCCCTGGCCCGCTCCACTCTCTAAGGGTTGAGAGATGGTTGGCAGGTGCCAGGAACCACCCCCAGTCCCCACGCCTCTGTCCCGGAGTCTGGCAACCCTCAGAGGAGGGTATTACAGACACCCAAGGGGACCAAGGGCTCAGCGGGATGGAGGGATGTAGGTCCAGCCCTCAGGAGCCTGGCCTGGGGCCTGGGCTCAGTGGGACCAGGGGCGCCTGGGCCCCAAGACTCCCTTGGCTCCCTGCTACCCTGTCTCAGAGCCCCACCTGGCTCCTGTATTCCCACCCGGTGGGACGCAGGGCTCGGCTCCACATGGGAATCCATTTGAGCCGGTCCCCCCTGGACCCCCACAGCTGGACGGAGCCCTGGGTGATCTATGAGGGCCCCAGTGGCTACTCTGACCTGGCCTCCATCGGTCCCACCCTCAAGGGAGCCCTGATCTTTGCTTGTTTGTATGAGAGTGGGGCCAGGGTCTCCTACGAGGAGATCTCCTTCTGCATGTTCTCCCTCGCTGAGGTCCTGCAGAATGTGCCGGTGGGCCCCAAACCTCTCAGCCGCGGGGGTAAGCCTCAGGAGCGCTGCCGGCCTTCCTGATGGGCCTTCTCGCCAGACCCATTTGTATGTCCCCAACACTGTGCTTTGAAATATGACACAAAAGCAGACAGACCTAGAGAAGAAAATAGAGCCATAGTTGTAGTGGAAAATTTTAGACACACGTCCTAGTAACCGATAGAGCAAACGGACAAAATCAGTGAGGATACAGAAGATATGGTCAGGTTGCTGGGCAGACCTTACTAAATGGACACACAGAGAACCCAGCAGGAGATAATCGCTTTCAAATACACCTGTTTACACCTGTTCAAATGCACTCAGGTGTAAAAACTGACATCATGCTGGATCACGAATTCAAGTCTCTACAAGACTTCGAAGGATTGACCATTACAGTGAAATTGAGCTAGAAATAAACGCGAATGGAAATTTAAAATCTTCCTTGTGAAGGTTTCTGAAAATTGAGAAACATGATTCTGAATTGCTCCTGGTCCAAAGAAGCAGGTCTGGTGAAAGTGAGGAAAGAGTCTGAAATTAATTACGTGAACACTGCACACACTGTGCGAGAGGGGCTGAAGCGAGGGCCGCCGCCGCCCCACCGTAGTAGGGGCAGGAAACTGAATCCAAGGGGGAGGACAAAGAAGAGAACAATCATGAGCAAACCTAGAGGGATAGGAAAAATCATACAGTAGAGGGAATAAAGAGAGCCAAAGCCGGGTTTTTAGAAAACCGATTAAGCTGATAATCTTGTTGAGACTGGTGATAGAAAAAGGAGAGAACCGTGAATAAGCCGCATCAGGAATGGGAGAGGGTGTGCGGGGCTCCTCCAGATGTTCAAAGATTTCAAGAAGATATTAGGAACCTTTTTATGCCAATACACTTAAAAATTTAGACAAGATGCATAATTCCTGGAAAAATACAACTTATTAAAGAAGAAATAAAAAATCAGAAAAACCCTATTAAAGACCCCGAATCCCTCACTGAAAGTCTGCACACTAGGAGAGGAGAACTTCGGGTGGCCCAGCTTCCCCGTGAATTCTGCCGGGAGTCTCAGGACCATCCGTGCTGGTTTACTGGGTAGTTTCCCGTGTGGGAAGCTGTCGCGCCAGTCTTCCAAAGTGGTGGCACCATCTGTAGATCTTTTTGGTGAGTGTCTGTTTAGAGCTTTGCCTCTTTTTCAGTTGGGCTGTTTGTCTTCTCACTGTTGAGTTTAAGAGTTGTTTGTATATTTTGGCAACTGAGAGTATGGAAAAATGCTCCATATCCTGTGTCAGGGGAAGGTCCTGCTGCTTGCTTAGCAGAATGGGCAGGATCTGGAGCGCCGCCAGCACCACCTGCTGGCGAGGGTGGGGACGTCCCGGCAGGACTGTCCCTCACACGGGCAGAGGGCGGGACAGGGTAGCCACCAGGAACAGTTTGGCGCTTTCTTACCAACAACGACCTCTTATCATAGGATGCGGCATTTGTGGTCATTGGTGCTTATCCAGATGAGCTGGAAACTCGTGTCCACACAGAAACCTGCACGTGGGTGTGCATAGTGACTTCATTCGTCATTGCTGGACCTTGCAAGAAATCCGGATGTCCTTTGAAAGATGAGCGGACAAGCTGTGGTCCGTCCAGACAGAGAAGACATGGAGAACCCTGAACTGTGTACCACTGAGTGGAAGGTTACGTGCCCTGTGACCCCATATGACAAGAGACGGGTGGTTGCCAGAGTTTGTGGGGAGGAGGGATGAACAGGTGGGGTGTAGAGGACTCCTAGGGCCGTGGGATGACCTATGTGATGCTCTCATGGTGGGGACGCGTCACTGTGCATTTGTCCAAACCTCAGGGTGTGCGACACTGAGATGGAGCCCTGAGTGAGCCGTGACTTCGGTTGATAATTCTGTATTGCCGTTGGAATCATCAGTTACAACATTGTACCCCATTAAGAGGGGACATGACCCCAGGGGAAATTGTGTGTCCAGCTTGACCTTGGATTCCTCACTGAAGGTGGCCAGCTCTTGGCTCCAGCTCTGTAGACCAGGAAAGGGTAGCCCAGGTCGTGGGAGGGGTCGTCCTCCTGGGCAGAGGGGCTCCAAGTGCAGGGCTCAGGTGGGCCCTGGCTGAGGGGGCGGCCACATGCCTTATGCTCTGGGTTCCCTGCCTCGGGCCTCATCTGAGAAGCCCAGGCTCACCCCCCCCCCTCCCCGTTCCTGCCGCCACCGCCCGTGAGATGCGAGGGGCTGGCAGGGAGGGACCTGCTGGGCAGGAGTGGATGGGGGTGGGCGAGATGCCCCAGCCTGGGCCGTTGACACATGGGGCTGGGGCAGAGCAGGGGACGGAAAAAGTGAGTGGAGGCGGGCTGCAGAGGCCACGTTCCGGGAAGGTGAGCAGCAAAGTGCTGACTGTGCCTGGCTTGCTGGCTTCTCATCGGAGCCTCGCTGCTGCCCGTGGGTGGCCCGGCCGGTGGCTTGGCGAGGCCACTGCTTCCTGCCCTCTCTGCTGTGTGTGTTTTGTATTTTTTTTTTTTAAAGATAATGAACTCATTTGTTTAAAAACATATTCAAAATGTGTTAATTCGATTTTTACTTTTAATTTTGGTATTTTTTTATGCTCAAAGTGCTCCCTGGTCTTTTGATGGGACGCCAACTCGGTTCCTTTCAGGGGCAGTGAGTCGCCCATACCCCACACTGACCAGCATGGGCTGAGGTCCCAGGGACCCTCTTCACTCAGAGCCTGTGTCGGACCCTCCTGCTCCGGCCACCTGCCCTGGGGCCTCCCGGGCACCTGGCTCACCCCCAGGCGGTATTTCACAGGTGGGATTCGTGGGTCAAACGGCAAATGCTTGGCTAATGCCTGGCTAGTGTCAGTTCTCCATTGTGGCCATCCTGCCCACCACACTCTGGTGCTCCAGGGGCCTTCGTCCCTGAATCCTTGCCGGTGAGGTGGAGGATGGTTCAATGTTGCCTGAGGACAGGCTCCCTGTAATCTGCATTTTCCTTATGAGTGAATGGAACAGCTTTTGTTGCTGAAGGGATGTGTACATACATACATGGAGTGCACACATGTATAGTGTTTGTGGTTTGTGTGGTACGTGTGCATCTGAGCACACACGTTTGTGTACATGTGCGTTTATGCACACGTGCGTGCCCATGCGTATGGTTGTGTTGTACAAGTGTGCACATGCATGTGTGCTCATCCACATATATGTGTACGTGTGCGTGTGCATACATTTGCGCATTCATGTGCATGTATGTACATGTGCTTGTGTGTATACATGTGCACGTGCATGTGTACATGCACGTGTGCATAGCTGGGAAGTGCCTCATCATAGCTTCTCTTCACTTTCCCACTGTCCCTTTGACCCTTTCCGTATTTTAGAAGATCTTTATCTAATTGGAGTATTAACCTTTTGTGTAATATTATCAATACTTTCCCTTAGTTTGCTTTGACACTTCTCTTTGCCACATTAAATCATTTTCCCCAATTTGTAGAATGGAATGTCTCCATCTTCTCTTTCATGACGCTGTGAATTCTAGCCAGTGTCAGGAAGGTCTTCTGCTCTAGTGTGAGGAACTCACCCCTGCCTTCCAGTCTCAGGGTTTCTGTTTTACACTTACATTTGGGATGCGTGCAAGTGCATGGCAGGAGGAGGGAGTTTGCCTGCTACTTTTTCTTCGCGCTATAAACACCACTTACTACTGCCTCTGTCTTTGTCCCCTAATGGCTGTCCTCTGGTGTGTGTGCTGCCGTCCGTTGCTAGTTGCAGGTCTGATAAAGCTGCTGTCTTTCACTTTCTTTTCTTGGTTTCCTTGGCTCTTGCCTGCTTGTTTGTTTCTCCGTATGAACTTCTCAGTTGCAGAGATGTGGGCTTCTACTGGGACCGTGTTACAGCTACAGGTTAACGTGGGGAGAATTGGCCTCTGGACGGCGCCAAGTGTTCCTGCCACAGGGGCGTTCCTCCCTTGTGCCCAAGCTGTCCTGTGGGGTCGCACATTTCTCATAAAACCGATGCCTCGGGCGTTTGATCTCTGTTGCTGTTGTCAGTAGAAGATCTTGGCCACTTTTTCTTCTGACTGCTTATTGTTTGAAAATATGAAAGCCATGTGTTTCTGGGTGTTAGTTTTAGATGTGTGACATTTTCTCACTACTGTCCTCGTCTTTCCATGGAAGCTACTGGTTTCTTCAGACTCTCAAGCCTGCACAGCCCGCAGACTCCCCAGCAGTGTCCCTCCATGTGTGACTCCGCTTGGCATCCTCAGAGCAAGGCGGCCTCCTTGCCTTGTCCTGGGCGAGGTGCATCTATGTCTCGCGCAGCACTGGCCAGGACCCCGGCGCAGTAGGACAGGACCCCTGTGCGGCAAGCCAGAGTGTGCGTGCAGAGGACCTGGGGGAAGCTTTGTGCACGGCCCCTGAGGGTTTGGACAGGACGCACTGGGAAGGGCCGAGGTTGAGACGAGAACAGAGGTCCCCTCACAGCGGGGCTGTATCTTCTTCCGGAAGATGGACAGACACTCCTTTGCAAGTGGGAAGGGCTCTTTCTCCACCGATGCCGCACCCTCTCTCCACCTGTGCAGCCCACCTGCATGCCCACTGCCCAGGGCCCTGGTGCTGCCTGGGAGGGACTCTCAGGTCGGGGGGAGCCGTGCCAGGCTGAGGCAGTCTGGGGACAGGCTTCCTGGGGGGTGATGCCCCATGGCACCCTGAACTGTAGGGATCTCACTCTGCGGAGGCTGTGGGGCATGCACATGAGGGGAACAGAGATGAGAGGCCTTGGGGGGTTTCTGGGGCAGTGAGGATGAGGGCCTGGGGAGGGCTGGCTGGGTCCTCCATCTTTGGGCAGAAACTCACCCCCCTCCCCTCTCACCACAAGAGCAGGAGAGAACTTCGGCTTTTCTTAGAGCTTTTGTCATTATTTAATTATAATATAATAGAATAGGGCGAGGGGCTCTGAAGTGTTTGTGGAACGCAAGACAGGACATGTGCTCCCGAGTCCCTGACACCCAGGCAGCCACGGACCAGCCTGCCCCGCAGCAGACCTGCCTGTTGGGCGAGGCCCCTTT